CCACCTCTATATGCTTAGTCCTATCATACTGAACGGGATTTGCTGCTATGCTAATGGCAGACTTGTTGTCGCAGTAGAGTGAGAATGGAAGCGACACTGGAAGGCACAAGTCTGTCATCAAGGTTTTCAGCCAAAGCAACTCACCTACCCCAAGAGCCATAGCCCTATACTCTGCCTCCGCACTAGATCGAGACAACATCGTGCTTCTTACTGCGCCAAGTAACCAAGTTACCACCAATAGTGGTATAATAACCTGAAGTAGACCTCTTATCTGAAATTGATCCTGCATAATCAGCATCTGTCCAAGCCTCAACACGTAAGTAACCATAATTGGCAAACAAAATACGACCGCCTAGACACCCTTTTTAAGTAGCGAAGGATCCGAATAGCTGCATCAAGGTGAGGGGCACGAAGAGAGTGCATGAATTGACTCACGACACTCACGGCATAAGCAATGTCAGGTCGAGTCATGGATAAATAGATGAGCTTCCCCACAAGTCGTTGATACTGATCTAACAACCCCTCCCCCTCAGAATCAGCCAACCGATGATTCTGCTCAATCGAAGTATCAGCAGGACGAGCGCCAAGTTGACCAGAAGCAGAAAGCAAGTAAAGAACATACTTGCGTTGAGAGATGAAAATGCCAGTCTCAAAGCGAGCCACCTCAATGCCCAAGAAGTACCGTAGGGGACCAAGATCCTTAATCTCAAACTGACGGCCAAGATAGCCCTTAACCTCATCAATTCTGGTAGCATCATCGCCGATAAGAAAATATCATCGACATACACAATGAGAGCAACTGTCTTACCGCCTGAACGACGTAAAAACAAGGTATGATAAGCTGCACTTTGATGGAAACCAAACTTGAGCATAGCAGTGCCAAAGCGATCAGACCAAGCTCGAGGAGACTGCTTAAGGCCATATAGAGAACGACGAAGACGACATACCATACCAGAATGAGCATGAGAACGAAAGCCCGGAGGAGGAACCATGTACACCTCCTCCTGCAAATCACCATTGAGAAAGGCATTCTTGACATCTAACTGAAATAGAGGCCAAGATCGAATTGCAGCAACGGAAAATAAAACTCAAATGGTATTCATCTTGGCAACAAGGGCAAAAGTCTCCTGATAATCTATGCCATAAGCCTGAGCATAACCCTTGGCAACCAATCGGGCCTTGTAATGAGTAACTGACCCATCTGGATTATGCTTAACTATAAACACCTAACGACAACCCACAGCCTTTCGTCCAATAGGAAGCAGAACCATGTCCCAAGTTTGATTTTTCTCAAGTGCTTGTAGTTCTTCTGTCATAGCATCACGCCATTGAGGTTGTGCTAGTGCATCTGCAACACTAGAAGGAACAGGAACCGAGGGGCAACAGAAACAAGAAAACTCCGATAGGAGGGTGAGAGAACATAATCAGAAACAAAATTAGAAATAGGGTAAGTACAAGAACGTTTACCCTTTCAAAGAGCAATGGGGCGATCATCAAGCGAAACAATAGCTTGAGAAGGCGGAGATGGTGCCGAAGGAACAGGGCAGTCGATCGTGGGAGTAGAAGCTTGTACATGTTATCTCCGACTATAAACCTGTGAAAAAGGAACAATTCCCCATGCTGGAGGGGTATCACGGGGAGGAATCATAGAAGAAGAAACAGGTAATGGTAGAGGAGTTGAAGACGGAAGAAGGTGATCATCCATTATATTCAATGGGAACCATTCACTCTAAGAACCAACTGAACCACTTTAGTATGGTGTATGCTCAAAGAAAGAAACATCCATGAATATAAACTGCCGACGGCTGGGAGGATGGTAACACCTATAACCTTTTTGAGAGTAAGAATAGCCTAAAAACACACACTTCAAAGCCTTGGGGTCAAGCTTTGTACGAGTTTACCCCAACTGCTAAACAAAGCACACACACCCGAAGGCGCGGAGGAATCAAAAAAAGAGATGAATTGGGATGTAAGATTGAGAGTGGGGCTGCAAAATTAAGAATCCTAGAAAGAGTCCTATTAATGATGTAAACAGCGATAAGAACTGCATCTCCCCAAAATGACTGGGGAACATTCATGCCAATGCAGATTGCTCTGGCTAAGTCAAGGATGTGGCGATTCTTTCTCTCAGAACGACCATTCTGTTGAGGAGTTTTAACATTAGCCATCTGATGTTCAATCCCAAATTCTGTACATAACCGTTGTACCTCCCCATAAGTGTACTCTGTACCCTGGTCAGATCGGAATTTTTTAATGGTACGACCATATTGAGTATGAACCATTGTCATAAAATTTTTAAAAATGGTGTATACCTCATTTTTGGTTTTCATAAGATAAACCCAAGTAACACGACTATAATCATCAATGAACAACACGAAATATCGAAATCCAAGACTAGAAGTAACTGGGCAAGGACCCCACACATCTGAATGAACAAGATCAAAAGGTGTTAAAGCAGATTTATTACTACTAGCAGGATAATTGAAACGAACATGTTTAGCCATATGACATGTTTCACAGGATAAATCTGACACTGCTACGTTACAAAATAAGGAAGGAAATACATGTTTCAAATAACCAAAAGAAATATGTCCTAAACGCATGTGCCAACGCATAAGCTGGGCTTTATTAGATGAAACAATATTAGAAAATGAAGCTGAATGTGCTTGAGGTGACAAAGGAGCATCCAACAGGTATAAACCGTCCACTTCACGCCCACTGCCAATCGTCCGTTTCGACACCAAATCCTGAAAAATACAATGAGAGGGAAAGAACGTTACACTACAATTTAATTGTTTGGTAACGCTACTAACAGAAATAAGATTTGTAGTCAATTTTGGAACATGAAGTGTATTTGACAAAGTTAATGAAGGAGTAACTGATATGTGACCCTTCCCAGCAATGGAAGATGGAGAGCCATCCGCAAAGCGGACCTTGCGTTGGCCAGAGCAGATACTATAAGATTGGAAGAGTGAGGACATACCAGTCATATTGTCTGAAGCACCAGAATCAATGATCCATGGTGTTGAAGATGTAGATACGCTATGTGCAGACGCAATAGTACCTGAGTGGGCATAAGTGGAGGTTGGCTGAGATGATGCCTCCATTTGGTTGAAGAATTGCTTAAACTTGTCCAAATCAGCTTGAGTCAAGGTAACTATGGCAGAAGATGTAGAGGCAGGGTTGTCAAGAGTTGACAACGAGACTGGTTGTGTAACAGAATGTGCAGAGGATCGAGGCTGTTGTTTTTGTTGCAGTGGACGTCCATGTAGAGCATAACAACGAGATTTGATGTGACCAATTTTTCCGCAATGGTCACAACGTCCACATTGTCATCCCAGAGGAGGACCGGTGGTAGTGCTCTGAACTGACTGGGATGGTGAAGTTCCTGAAAGGTTGGGAACCCGAACTGCCATAGCAGAACGATCAACAGAAGCAACACCTAATGGATGAGTCCGACGGCTCTCATCTGACAACACATAGGAGTATGCATCCTCAAGAGTAGGGAATGAAGATAAGCCCAATAAATGAACACGAGCATACTCAAACTCGTCGTTCAACCAGGCAAGAAGCTAAAACACTCGATTCTTCTCCACAATTCCTGCATATAAAACTACATCATCTGGATCCTTCCAAGAGTGGAGGGAATCATAATATGACATCTCCTCCCAAATAGCACGAAGTTTGGCGATGTAACCTGAAACTGTCATGTCACCCTGAGAAATCCTGGTGATATCTCGCCCCAGCTGGAAAATTCGTGCATTATTCTGCCTCTGAGAATAAGTGCGTTGAACTGAATCCCAAATCTGCTTAGCAGTCTTCATAAACATATAGCCAACAGCTATGTTTGGTTGCATCAAATTGACTAGCCAAGACATAACTATAGCGTTATCTGCAAATCACTGTAGATATGCCTTCTCTGACTCAGCTGGCTCTTTCTCAGAACCAGTAATATAGCCAATCTTGCCTTTGCCACCAATGAACATCTTGGCAGACTGTGCCCAAATCAAATAGTTAGAACCATCCAACTTCACTGTAGTGATTTGAAGTCCTGGATTTTCTGATGAGTTGGTGGGAAAAATGGCACCACCACCCACAGAACGTAAGCCAAGAGAATTAACAATCGAGGACCTTGAATCTGCCATAATCTGTCACACAACAATAAAAAAACTCCAAAAACATCACAAATTCTGTTAATAAATCAAAGGGTCTCCTCAGACCATAAACAATAACAATGTCTCCTCAGACCATTCCCGAAAAATCCAAATACATACCTTTTTTAAGGAGCGCTGCCCGCTTACATATAGCCAGACAGCCTCCTTCTTAATATCTGGAACCTCTTTGTAAAGTAATTTTTTTTACCCAAGCCCTTCTGGGTATTGGAAACCAACTATCCCAATTTACCCAACCCTAGAAGAGTGAAAAAGAAATTGTAAAACTTAAAAATACCTGTTTTCGATCACAAAACAGCAACACAGAAAAACATGTGTAGGTAACGTCACACGATGTCACAAACAACTTAAGGTAGCTATCGCACAAGTAGCAAGGCTGCTGAAAGGTGTGGAAAGGTGCTGGCTCTAATACCAAGTAGAAATATATACAAAGAAGAGAAAGGAGAGAATTGCGTAAAGGCTTGAATAATATGAATTACTCATTCACAGCTCTAGTATTTATGGATAAAATGAGCACATGCTCATATTACAAGAAAGGAAACTAAATCAAATCAAAATCAAATCACAACTTATTCTAAAGCATATTCTATGACATATTCTATAGCATAGTCAAATCTCTGCTATTATGGTACGTCATACCATAAATCGTGGTATCATATATGCTATTATATGCATAATCAAATCTCTACTATTATGGTAAGTCATACCATAAATCGTGGTATCATACCATAAATCGTGGTATCATATATGCTAACACCATGAGACCATCAGAAAGACAAGAAAAACAGTTAAAAGTATTTAGTAAAATAAGGGAGGAAACGAACTCACTTGGTAAATCAACAAGTGATGGGAACAGTGGAAGAAATGATCCAGGAGACATCAATCCTGGAAACACCTTCAAAAATGATTTTTCTAATCTGCATGCAGGAGAGAATTGTAAAAGTTAGCCCGTACCCTCTGATGCATCACATGAGTAGATCATTGAATCAAAGTCATCTGCAGAACATTCTTCTAGATCCTCCTTTTGCATATACAATTTACGTGGGGAAAAAAAAACAATTTCATATTAAGAATGTGATTTTATTTATTGAATTTTTCTTCTTTCCCTGGTAAGAATTCATAATTGTATTTTAATTTTTTTTTTTTTTTTTTCAAAAAAAAAAAGGAGAAGAAAGATAAAAACTAAGAGGATGCAAAATTCTTCAACAAAGGAATTCACATAACAAGGCAGAAAACATAGAAAGAGAAATTACTACATCTGGAAAGAAAACCTCCTCTGCCTACCATCCCCAATAAACTCAAGGAGGATTGAAGTGTCCTCCAGAATGCTCAAAAGTGGATGACCTGTTTTTTGCCATAACGAGGACATCCTCATTACATGATCTGAGATTGAACTAACATCCTCTTGAGTATTATTAATTGTTAAATTTATGATGGAAGGAACACGTGCCTAATAGTTGAACAGCTAACCCTTAATCCAGACTTGTTTATAGTTCACTGACTGTTCTGCATTTGGAAAGATTGTATCAAAGGTGTTAATATTGCACAGAGAAGAGAAGAAGAAAACAGTCGTGTTCTGTAATGCATAATTGAATATTACAGAATGTCGTATTACAAAGAAAAGGATAAAGTGATAAACCCAACTAAAAATAAAGGAAAAGACAAAGCTACCCTTACCCTAAAAATATATAAAATATAACAAATCTCTAACAAAAGGAACACGATATTTTAATCAGAAAAGAAATTTTTTGTGAGAATTATAAGCAACTATATTATTTCTGAATTAGTATCAAGAGGATTTCTTTGATAAGCATAAGTATCTCTTATCCCCATGATTGCAATGTATAAAAAGTAATATGCAGATATTAATTGTATCTTCTTGGTTCAGTTCCCATCTAGTTAAAGATTTATGAGTGTCCTATACATTATCACATTAAGGTAGCAGTTTCGAAGGTTTGCCCGAAGTTTTCCAGACCTTTATTCCTGGATGATCTCTCTTTGTCCATGAGAGGGTCCAATTTCTTCGTGTAATGGTGGAGATAGATATTTACGAGGCTTTACCAGAAACCCTACCTATTACTTTACCTGGCGATGGATAAATGTTTTGCTCGGTTTGAGAATGAATGGAGACCTTAGTTATGAAAGCACTGTCACTAATCAAAAAAAAAAAAGTTATGAAAGCACTGTCGGATAATTGACCACAATAGTTCTCAATGCCCTCGGAAGGTTATTGCCGATGCTAAATAAAAGAAGGTAAAGAAGTATGTTGTTAAGATTAATGGTAAACTTATGGAGGAAACTGATCATGGCAATGTGGGTGAGGCTAATGTGGCTGCTCCTGGGGGGGTGTGTGGGAGAGGGGGTTGCTGAGGATGTTCCTTGGCTCTGAACAAGGGCTTAATCAGAAATCCTCGATAAGACAGTAGCTGTTTCCGCTCAGCTGATATCTCAGAAATTATCTGACGCATCTGTGAGGGCTAGAAGGTCTGGTAAGATAATTGATGTCCCTGCTCATCAGATCAATTAAGAACCATCTCGTGCTGCTTCTGGGCTACTTGCTAGGCCTGATGTTCCCAGTTCTAATAAGTCAATTGATGTCCCTGTTCAACAAATTACTCAAGATTCATCTGTTGGAATTTGTGGGCTCCTTGCTAAGGTGAATGTGGCCAATATGTCTTTTGCAAAGCCTAATGCTTCTGTATCTCATGGTGCTTCATATTTTCCCAGTACTGGCAGCACAGCTCATGTGACAGATGATACTTCTTTGCTTCCAGCTGCAAAGACTTAAATGAGAAATGAGGGGAGCAAAAGAAGAATGTGCAATTGCAGATAACTTAGAGAGTTACTATCGGGAAGGTAGCTGGTGGAGCTAATCCACCAAATTTGAAGTTTTAATGATTGGAAGCTGGAATGTTAGAAGTCTCAACACAGTTAAAAAATGGTTATTTCAGCATCAATTTGCTCTTGTACTTTTTAATATTATTTTTTTTTTATGAGTAAAGAATTATAGAAACAAGCACTTATGCAGGGAGCGCATCCCACAAAAACTACACAAGGACCAAATAACCCAACAAAAAAATAGAACATAGTATAGAGAACTTAAGCGCCCCTATAGGAGTTCCTCGAGATCTTTTGCTATTTTGTTCCTTCCACAAGCTCCACCAAATACACAAAGGCGCCACCCTCAAAAAGTCTCAGGCTGGGGAACTCACTGTACATCCTCTCCAAAACTCTATCAAGCTCCTCGGAGACTGAGGCATGACCCACAGAAACACAAACAAGCCCAAGAGCATCAACTGTCCGAGCCACTAGGCAATGCAAAGCAAGATGATCTACCTTCTCCTCATCTCTCTTGCACGTACAACACCAATTCACAACTACTCCTTCTCAGGCTATCCAGTGTAGGATCCTCCCCAAAACTGTCGTCCTGGCGAAGAAGCCCCACCTTGAGAAGAGCCTTGCTGCCTTGGTGCGCCATCCGGCCTTCCATTGGATGGTAGGCCCCGTAGCACCCGAAAGGCATCTATAAAAAGAGTGAACGTCAAACCACCCCTGAGAAGAACCAACATGAGCCTAGCCCAAAATTTTTCGGAAATTGCAATTCAATACGTGCTTGGGTGAAAAATTAAAAATTAAGAACACGAGCCCGGAAATTGCAATTCAATCCGTGTCAGGCAACCCGAAGCCCAACCCAAGCAGATCCCGAATTACAAAACCCGACGAACAAGAAGAACCCCGATATATATATATATGTATATATATTTATGTACAATATTGTATATAAAGATGTATAATATTTGTGTTGGTTGCATGTGATTGATAATTTAGTGGTGTCACTTGGTATTATGTAATCACATATTAAACTTTTTAGTTTGATGTATTTGTTATGAGTAGTGATAGAGAAACCGAAACAAACACCCGAAAGAGTTATCGAATGTGACATGGTTTGGCCACGTAAGGCCATCTAAATAAAAATTTCTCTATGCGATAAAACTGAAAAAAAAAATATATATATATACAGACTCTCTACTCTCTCTCACACATACACAGTGCTTCACTTCCCTTCTTTACTGCAAAACTTGGAGAGAGAAAAACAGGGATGAAAGAGACTCTGTAGATAGAAACAGGGAATCAAAGTGCCTACGCTTTAACTCTCAAATCGATTATTTTTGGGTCTCATCTCACACACATACATAGTATGTACAAGTATAAAGCTCTTGACCCAATTTCTATATTTTTTGTGAACACAATCTTACAAGAAATTGACTACTTCAGGTTTTATCTCTTTACATGTGTGTTTTGTGTGTGAAATATCTGACCCAAGAAGAACAAGAAACCAAGATATGCTTTACACTTCAAGATCCAAAAACCCATTCGAAGGACGAGTCCAAGAAGATCAAGAAATCCCTACCATCATGGTGATGGGGTCGCCGTAGTCATGCCCTCAGGGGATCAATGTCCGGTCCGGTGTATATTACTGAAAGCCGGAGTGGGTCACCACCAACCGGTCGTCATCGGAGTCACTTAGCGGAACCCAAACACCATCGTGGATGTGGCAAGTGGAGTTACCGTACATGAGCCGTCCATGGATTTGATCTGATTTTTATTCTCTCACGTGTAGAGAGGACGTTGAAAGATTCTGACGTGACTAGGCCACATCAAATTCAGTGCTCATTCGGCGCCAATTTTCGGTTCCTTTATCATTATTCATTTGTTATTTATGTCATGTCAATATCTTCAATTATTTCATTTGTGAAAAAGTTAAAAAGTTTATTCATTTGTTATTATAACAACCCAAATTCTAACTAGAGTAAGCCCAATTCAACCCGAAATTTTAGCCCGAATTCAACCCAAGCTTAAAAAATGACGGATGGATGGCCTCGGGTCATTAGCTCGGGTTGGGTTTGGCTAGGGTTAAGGATTTCATACCTCGAGTTAAGCCACCAACCTGCCCAAGCCGCTCGACTTGCACCCCTAATCCCAAATACGAGAGGGAAAGAACTAACCTCAGAACCTAGAATGTCAACCAAGTCAAAAATTCCGTAACCTCCCCCACCGGGACCATCACAACCTTCCCAAAATTGACCTTCAAGCCAGAGACAAACAAAAAGCACACCAGAACACATCGAAGATACATCAACTAAGCACATCACCATAACAAAAGACAATACGGTTAATTTCAATTACACACCCTGAGGTTTGGACAAATCTTACATGGAGACACCTTTCAAAAATAAGTATCACTCAAACCTCAAATCACTTTTCCGACACTTTTACCGTTAAAAAGTGTGTAATAACAATTTTACCCTCAATTTTTTAATCCGCTTCAATAAAAAATATATCCACAAATTTAAAGGACAAAAATGCCCTCATTATTACTGACACAAAAGGATTGCCAGATTCACCAACATTTGAACCAGTCGGACTATCTTCTTTACATCACCACTCTCCAATCACTTCAACAGCACCTGAACCGACCGTTCATCTCCACCGCCGCCGCCGATTAACGCCGTGTGCTTCCTCTTCAACGTCGAGTTCCAGTGATTCTTGATCATATTATCTGCAACCATTGTAGGGATCTCGCAATTGCCGCCCACTTGTTCCCGAACCTCGCGTGCACTTGAATAATAATAATCTTGTCCTCCTCCGGCATGAAGGCACAGTGCTCCACCTCCGGCGAGAGCTGATTACACCATTGGAGACGGCACGACTTGCCGGACCGGAATCGATCTCTCTTATCTCCCTCTCCACCGGGCGTTGCCCCCACCACCACCACCACCACAAGAAAGACTTGGGGTTGATTTATGTCGGTGATAGCTTGATTTGCATGAATTTGGGGTTGATTTGCATTGGAATGACTTGATTTGCAAAGTGAAATTTGGAAATTTCTTGTGCAAGGTATGGATTAATTTGTGGA